GGGGAGGGGGGGCGCAAAGCGTGTCCACAATGACATTATTGCGGAGAAGAATCAACACCTCCACAGACTTATCACGCTCCTGAATTGCATGTAATTGTTCCATAATAATAAATAAAAGATCCCAACAGCATCACACAAGAACAGTAGAACATGTCCATGGAGAGATTCTGTAGACCAAAAGCACACAAGGAGAGATTCTGTAGAACAAAAGCAATAGCTATAAGCAAGTGAAACCGGACTTTGCTTCCATGCTTCCTACCCTATGAAAGAAAAACAATGCCCATGTTCTGCAATAGAACAACACCAGTGGACCCTCAAACAAGCCCAGCGAAATACAGTTATAAAAACAAGTCACAATGAAAAACTTCTGTTCACTGGCCCTGCATGCAGCCCTGTCTTGACTTCACATTGGAATCTTTAAACTATATATAGAATCTGGCCCCTGGCATTTGACGACAAACGCAAGATCCACGGCTTATACCTTTCCAACATGCACTCAAACCTTACGCAGAACACTTCATATATTGCACAAGAACTTTCTTATGGAATGACGTTTCACAATGGCTTTCACGCCAAATACGGCATACTCGAAAAGGACTTTACAGGACGAATGTAACCACAGTACAATCAGACCAGCCCTCCAGTCCGGTAGACCGAGCCTACCAATTCACTGTAGATCGCGACGTTCCTTTTCAGCACGGCTGGGGCCATGTGCTGGCGGTTTCACATTCCTGTACATGGCCCCAGCCAAGTTGAGCACCATCGGTTGAGACTCTCCTAAATTTTCGGAGGCGAGCCTGCCAACTCCTAATAGGCTACGACTTCTCTTTTCAGCAGGGCCAGGGCCATGTACTGGTGGTTTCACGTTCCAGTACATGGCCCCAGCCAAGTCGAGTCCCACTGATTGAGACTCCTGAATTTTCGGCTGACGTGTACTGGTGGTTGAGACCACGAAACCACAAGAGTACTTCGAGGCTTCCTTGTGCTGAAACAGATTCCCCATCCCATGCCAAATTAAGAAATGACCCCTCACATTTTCTTTGTACACTGCGACCGCCAGCCATTTAGCTCTGGTAGGTCATGCCCCGAAAGTTGCAGTGTGTGCACACACACCTGCATCTGAGAAAAATGGCTGTGAAAAGTACCGGTGGTTACGATACCGTTCTTAGTACTTCTTACACGTCCGGTGGATATACTTGGAACATCGGTACATCTCCCATTCAACATTTGCACTGTTGGAGTGCTATTGGAATTAAATTTACGCACAAGTGCAACTCGAGGATGGATAGCAAGGGTTCACAGGTAATGACAGAGCACAAGGTCAATTTCGTGATCGCTGTTGATTCCATTTCTCACTGAAACAAAATCAAAAGATCTGATTTCCCTCTCGCAACAACTTTCGGCTTGCATCCAAAAAAAAAAAAAAGGAAAAAGAAAAAGAACATGGCGTTTGTCAATCCTCACTCTTTGGACGTCCTCCCTGCCTCCCGCGCACCAAAAACACCACACCATGCCCCACATGCCATCACATACACAAAGCGTAGTCCCCTGGAAAGGCGCACATGACAATACCAAAACAGACATCCAGCATGCAAGAATGCATTCCGCCGATGCTCATGCTTATGTCCTGGATACCGACACTTCGTTCCACCACGTGCACCTGTCATCGAAAGCATGCGTCGCTTTTAAAAGCTCCACTCTATTGCTTCATCCTCCCACGCACGTACGTTCATCTGCACATTACTCTCACTCATTGCAGGGCACACAGCCCCACAATGCGCCAGCAGGCATTCCACGAAGGGCACATACGAGGGAGGAGACAGTTGCAAATGTTCAACCCATCCTGTGATATGTGGACATTGAAGAAAAAAAAAATGTTATGGATGATATGCCATCACTAAACAAAAGAAACTCAGGCGTGCTTAACATGACGGCGAAGACCTCGGAGAATATTACTGCATCATAAAACTGAGCCTTTGATTGGTTCTCAAAATAAAAGAACCATAGTCACCCTCAACTTCTTGGTACAGTAGCCAGAAGCCCTCTACTATTCAAGACCCATGAAGATTATTTGCATTCACTGGAAAAGAATATCCCATCACCAGCAGATTGGTCATGTCTTTCCAGATGCATCAGTGACATTATTTTGCTGACATCCCTGGTCTGTTGGACAGATAGAGAGTCTTTTTCGCTTGTCTGTTGGACAGATAAAGAGTCCTCAACATAGATCATGATGAGCCACCTGGGCTGAAGCTTAACATGACAAAGAGGAATGTAGAAAAGAAACAGTTGCAGTGCCATGCACACATAGACACCTCATTTTCACGACTTCTTGCTTCTCTTCGAATCATTGATTCAAAAGACAAGTCGACGGTGACAGACTTCGAAAGCCAGCAAAAAGCTCGCAATCACCCAAATTGTCATGAAATTCTGGTACTCATTGACTACTAGAAAATCCATACCGCCCACTATACCTCGCTAGATAACATCACGACCACATTGGTGCTAGATGGAAAAAAGTGCATTTGAGAAGTGCGGACTACAATTTTTACAACATCAACCCCCCCCCCTCAAGGGATGAGATGGCAAGCCTGCTCCATGTGACCAGTTATACAAAGTGATTCTGTTACATATATGACAGAGCTAGATGTACAGAACAGAGAAGCCAGACAACAGACATAACATAAAAACGATCCTCTTGCATAAACATACGACATAACAGTGCTTTTACAAGATAGTACTTTGTGGCATCGCTTGAAAGAAGCCGGTTCAACAGAAATAGCAGGGAAAATGAAAACACGGAAATAAAGAACCCCTCTCTCTCTCTCTTTCTCTCTCACACACAGTTACCCCCAGATATATAGAGATCCATCAAACCGACAACCCCCCCACCGTAGCTCTCTCTCTCAGCCCTCCCCAAAATCTGTCCCCTCATCCTCTCCGCCATGCTTTCTGCCTTGCAGGGCAAATCCAACAAACAGACCCATCAAGCACAACCTCAACATCCAGCTACCTGATCTCTCTCTCTCTCTCTCTCTCTCTCTCTCTCTCTCTCTCTCTCTCTTTGTCATCCACAAAATATGTCCTCATCCCCTCCGCCATCCTTTCCCCCTTCTAGGGCGAATCCAATAAACAGATCTCTCTCTCTCTCTCTCTCTCTGCCATGCCCAAACTATGTCCCCTCGTCCCTTCCGCCATCCTTTCCCCCTTGTAGGGCGAATCCAATAAACAGATCAATCAAGCACCGCCTCAACATCCAGCTACCTGATCTCTCTCTCTCTCTCTCTCTCTGAGCCATCCCCAAAATGTCCCCTCATTCCCTCCACCATCGTTTCCCCCTTGTAGGGCGAATCCAGTAATAGATCCATCAAGCACAACCTCAATATCCAGCTCTCTCTCTCTCTCTCTCTCTCTCTCTCTCTCTCTCTCTCTCTCTCTCTCTCTCTCTCTGTGTGCCCTCCTCAAAATGTCCCCCCCTCATCCCCTCTGCCATTCTTTCCCCCTTGTAGAGCGAATCCAATAAACACATCCATCAAGCACAACCTCATCACCCAGCTCTCTCTCTCTTGTGCGTGCGCGCGCGCCAGCACCCGCGCACGCACACAGAGTAGAAGCTGAACATGAAGAACCTGAACGTTGGTCAGCCATTACAATTTTTTTCGGGTCATAAACTTGGTGCCACCATCCCCCCATAAAAAGAAATTCACACCTCCACGATTTTTGGAGGAAGCAATGGCTTCCATGGACTCATGCAAAGTGCTACCAGTTCATTGAGGATGTCTGGCGACTGTGCACCACCTAGACAAGGTAGGCATCCGACATGCCCATTGCTTGATACTTTTGTTTTGCACCAATACACATTTGCGTGTGGTAGCACTTTAGTTGGAATGACACACACACAGCAAAGAAAGCGCCCATCTGATTTTCTAACTTAAACCACCACTACCTTTCACAGGCAAAACTCGAAACACTGATTTGCCATCAGCCACATCCTTCAGGATGACCTGTACTACCAACCAATGTGGTTGGCAGCGAGACCCAATAATAAAAATTGCACTGGACCTTCAGCAAAAAGCTTGAGGCATCTAGTTCCACCTCGGCAAAAAGAGGCTTGAAGGTAGTAGCAGTTTTTAGATGCCACAGCATCTGCTGGAATTCCAAGAGCCCTGTTGTTCACAGTTCTGATTTTCTGATGGCCCATTGATGGTGAAATCAGACTTGTCTCAATATCGCTTACAACATGCATACATGCATGAACCGATGGCAAACCAACTTCTTCAGCTCAGAATCAGCAATGAACTTGCACTGGCGACATGCGCCCACACAGAAACTCAACTCAAGTCGACTGTTATAACCTGCGGCTATGGCCGCCGAACACTCACAGTCCCCACTGAACACTGTCGACACCATCAACCTCAACCTCCCTCACACACGCACGCACGAGGATCCACCCTGAATGTCCACACAGCACACACACACACACAGTACACTGTTGACAGCAGCAGCTTGGCCGCTATGGCCGCCATCGTCTTCCTCAGCCCACTTCTGCTACGGGCACCTGCAGACCTCCACCGAACAAGTCGCTCTAGCAACGCTTCCACAACCCTCACAGGCAAATGAATGTATGCATGTTGTAAGCGATATTGAGACCAAGTCTGATTTCACTGGTATCAGAGCCTACAGCGTGTGCATGTGTGCAGTGTGGACATTCACGGCGGATCCTCCTGCGTTCAATGGTTTGTACAGCGGATAAAGACACGATCCCATGTGCACGAGAACGACCCTTTCTGTACATTTGATCCTTTATAGGCTATATCAGCATAGCTGGGAGGTCAGACACAGCACAACGACAAACAACTCACACTAAAACATCGATTCACACACCTCGAGCATGAACTTCTATATACTGTAGAAGATAAGTCCATACAGCAGTCAAAAAGAGAGCAAGTTGAAGGACTGTCGCTTCCTAGTGTGCTTTTGTTTCAAGATTGACACTGGCATCTGACCAAGTGTAACTGCACAGATGCTTGCCTTCGATTGTAAATATCTCACAACCCGAAACAGGGAATCAGATGCACGCAGATTGCGTGGCACAAAAGGAAGAGAAGACAGGGAATCAGACATTTGCAAATTATGCACCACGATAGAAGATGAATAGAGCAAGATGAACGCTCGCTGACACATATGATTGAATACCCCTTTTCTGTAAGGTCGAGCAAAACGGAATGCTTTAGATTTTTGAGTGAGCGCACAGCATATGAAGACGGAGTGCGGCCACGGCAACCTCTTTCTTCACATGCCATGCACTGCACAATTTGAAGAGAGGCGAACAATTTGACTGGATGTAAAAGAAGACTATGCGGAGAGCAGCAAGGGCAGAATACACATTCCAGTGTGTGGGCAGGTTAAGGAAAAGTGAAAGGCGAGACAGAAATGGAAAGAACACAGAACACTCACCAAGAGAACTTTCATGCACGAGGATGATCGCCGCATGACCTCCTATCAGCACTGAGTACTTCTTAGGAACCAGGGCTGCTACAGTGATTAGCACATGCCCATGCCCTTGTATCAGTACAAGGAACAAAATCCAACTCCAGACATTTCACAACCCTCCCTTGCCCCCAGACTGCCCACTCAAAAATGAAACAAATAAGAGCAAAACCAGTAAAAAAAAAAAAAGAAGGACACCCACACACATTCCCTCCATAGAAGCCTGTTTTTATGAAAAATTGAACACCGAATTTGCTGGTTTTTTGCTCTGATTTGCTCTGATCAACCGTCAACAGTGGTCAAGAATTTTTCAACAGAGGTAAAGGGTTTTCCATTTCCCTGCTGCACAATTTGACTAACACTGATCCGATTATTAATTTTCAAAGACGTCATATATATTGTCACATCACTACAAACTAAAAGAGATATATGACCCAGGACATGCACATCAAGTTTTTTCTTATGGGACTACTTCACCACTGTTCGTGTGAAATATCCCATCGCCACTCTGTCTAAGGGCGTCCTCACACTAGGACTTTTTTACTTATTTCAGGACGGAATTGCGGCCAGATGCATCCAGGTGCGGCCGTAAATGCGGTCAGATACATTTACGAGAGTGCTAGTGTGAGTACACCCTAAGACCAGAAGATGCCAAATCCATTCAAATTTCATGTTGCTTCAACCCACAATGTGGGCCAAAGTAGCGAAAAAAAAAAAACAAAAAAAAAACGTTGCGGGACCACAGATGAGCATCAACCCACAACGTGGGCCAAAATAGGGAAAAAAAAAAAAAACGTTGCGGGACCACAGATGAGCATCAATAAGCAAATGAATGTATACTAAACGCTGTGCAACAGCATCTGAGACCAAGACTACGTCTTTGGAAAGCCAGGAAACGAGTCCTGGCAGGTAAAATCGTCTGAACCACTGCACGCTCACTAGACCCTTCCTATACCCCCCAGAGAGATGGCCACATGCAGTTCATGGACAAGAAGACTGACCATGTGCCACCCTGTTATAAATCCCAAAATCATAAATTGGTAAAGAGTAATATGGTATGCTTCCTATACCCCCCAGAGAGATGGCCACATGCAGTTCATGGACCACTAGACCCTTCCTTTACTGCTCCTTTCGTTTTCAAACACCCAGAAGTAAAGAGTACCATGGTATGCTTTCACTGGTCCACGTCAAAAATGTGTAGACGCAGCATATACACTTCGACTAAAGACGATAATACCTCGACTTTGTTTCACGACAGATATATTCATTGACTGGATATTTAGCGCTCATTCCTCTGAAAGGCATCTCCCTCAGACCACTTGTATCTGTTCCTTATAGCTGCCATGTACTGGACAATAGACAGTTTCTTATACTATGACGTCTCTCTTGATACAACATCAGAATTTTGTATTAAGTGGGCAGAAATACACACACACACACACATATGCACAGAGGGAAGGCGAGCGGGGGCGGGGGGAGGGGGGAGGGAGGGGAGGGAGTGTATACGGAGAGTAGAAACCAAGAGGGACAGCAAGGGAGGGAGTGTATAGAGTAGAAACCAACAGGGACAGCAACGCAGCGAACACACAAACAGATAGACACGAACTGAGAGAGCCAATTGAACTTCAAGGATAACCGATACATAGGCAATCTTTGTGAAGGCTGCACAGATGAGAACACATAGCAAATGAATGCCAAGAAGACAGAGATCCAGAAAAATATTAATAGAAACTAAGTTACTTTTTCTCTTCACAAGTCACCAGCATTGTGACAGAACACATGTACAAACTGAGGTCGCCATCATCAGCGGACTCAGTATACAGAATACCGGAGCAGGCCTGTTCCTTGGCGAGACGCTTGAATCTATCAATCTACTCTATCTACTACTGCCAACTACAGAGAAGCTGACGCCAAGGCAATGTGCAATCAATAACCCAACGAGGACTGCAACGACAACAATGGCAGCACCACCCAATTGACATCATGGGAAAGGTTGCCTGGGAGTCCAGACACAGACCGTGAAGTTGCAGTGCGATCTCTTGAGCCGACCGGCGCAGAAAGCATGTCCTGTCGGTCCTCAACAGCCTTTTTCCTCCAGCCTCTCCTTTCCCAACCTCCTCGCGTTCCGATGCACTCGGATTCTCAATGGGCAACACCATCCCACTGCAAGAAACGCAGCAGTCAGCAACAGCCAGTGCAGTCATCGATCGCAGTCTCACCACATCCAGCCACACCACAAGGCCTTCCAACAGGAAAAAAAAAAAAAAGAGAAAACAATATCAACTGTCAAAACAATATTCCCTACTCTGCAATCTACCAGATGACAAAAGTTGGACAGCAAATTTGCCAACAAAAGAAAAACAAAGCAAAATGAATGAAGCCAGACAAAAGAATCATCATGACGCTGCCGCCTTTAGATTCGTCTTGTCGTAGGGATGATGCCGATGGTTTCTCTTCTCCCTGAAAGCTCCATATGAACTGTGTTCTGCAAATGCATCAAAGAACAACCAGAAACAAGTAGAACATCAAAGCATCAGTTCCACTATCGGCACTAAAAGCCATCCACTATAGAAACGAGCTTTACACAAACAACAGTCGTCATTTTTTTGCTCTTTGAAGCCAGCAGCTTGTCTGATCAGTCGCAACCTTACGGCTCGAAGAGCAGACGTTTCACGTCTGAATCCCACGAAGGCGCAAAGGCGCATGAGAATTTGACTGTCTCTCCGGATACCGCTAAATACATCAAAAGAATTTCAAACCCAAGGGAATGAGCCACAACCTTGTTTTGGACATATGCACTTTCCTCAAAGTGAAACTAACTGTGGTATTAATGCTATTCTAAGAGGATTGAACGAGCGGTTTCGAAGCGCACAGAACAGACACTGTCTCATGTGGTATTTTTCCACTATTTTTCTTTTTTTAATTGGTGAACTTGTCCCTGCCAGTACTAACGGATTGTTACTTCGTCATCTCTCAATAATATCCACTATGAAAACACTCACAGACTAACACATAAGAAACACAGGTCCTCACAATCTTTCACCTGGACTGGTCACGCAAACCAAACACACTTTTCATTAAAGCTTTCTACTAACTAATGTCACCAAACCAATGATTAAGCAGATACCGACGTGATAAACACCAAAATGAGACAAGGGAGGAGAAACAGAAACGCTGTCTATAATGCAATGTTACCTATTTGATTCTCCTTATCATTAGCTGCATAGGTGAATTAAGAACAGAAGACTACAATTACTCCACATATGTAGCCATTCACGTCCACAATATGCAGGGCGAGAGAAGTGTCACAGCTTGTGAGGAAACACAGAAAAGTGCACACATGCACACACACATAAACACTCCACGTGTGGGGCAGAAATACAGAAAGAGAACCGGCAGATAATATGTGCACAATCTAAGCAAGCTGTCCCTGTTTTGCATGTCGTAGACAACTGACCATGCGCAGCTCAATGGAGACTCATAGATTTCCTTCACAAAACTTCGTGTGTATACGGGGGCAAATGAAACATTGTTCACTCCGCAAGCCTGGTCACAGTAGGTGTTGTTTCCTTCACAAAACTTCGTGTGTATACGGGGGCAAATGAAACATTGTTCACTCCGCTAGCCTGGTCACAGTAGGTGTTCGGCCTTTCGTCAACCTAGACAGAGAGGAAGCACTCGGCTTTCAGCCAGTCTATCGTTCGACGAAGAAAGAAACTCGATCATAAGGTGTGAAACTTGCATTTTTCCCCACTGAAGCCCGTACGAACACAGGATAGAGAGATCTCCATCGCAATGTCAACCACCTGACAAATGAGTTACAGAAAGGAAGCATGCATGTGGAGTACAGAGATCTTCCTCTCTATCAACAGTACGTGACTAAATACAGTCCCTTACACCAGAGAACTATTGTTTAAAGTGACCTACTAATGAAACAGCCCTTCCACCACCAGAGGCAGCAGAGAAACGAAAACTCCCTCGTACTGCATCAGTGTACTTCATGAGCCTACTCGATGGAAAGAAAAGTTACAAGACAGTACAAAAGATCTGATTTCCACTTCAAGAATTCAGATAAACTTCTTACCTCTACTCGGAATCACCTCCCTTGCCTTCTCTGGGCGGCCTGCACGTCCACACGACAAATTGCACAACAATCCCACTTGTAAGGGCCCTACCTCAAAGCTTGCCCTTTCCCCGTCACTCACATCCTCTACACAATTGCCTGCACAATTCAACATCACATGGCAAGGACCTTCAAACGTTCAACAACATGGCAGGTCCACACATACATCCAGACCAACGTCAATTACTTGAAGTCCTCGCCACCTCTAACTTCGGCTTCATAACCACCATTAAACCAGCAGTACCTCGCCCAGGCAAAAACTTTGGAGGCAAAAAGAATCCGGCCCGGCAGACAGAGGCTTCTCACCACTAACAACGGTTTCTTATCACAACGAATACCTTCGAACAAATAACTTCCAGAGACTCGTCACTGGAAACCTTTCATACTGCATGCCAATAGAATAACAGAATGACAAAAAATCAAACATTGAAAATGCACACATTCAATCAAAAGAGCGTGCATCCACGAGTTCACAGTTGACACAACGAGAACAGTCATATACCAATCGAATAAACACAACTCATTTCAGCCACTCTGAGCTCGAAAGACCTCCACCACAGCCGATGACAGTCTCTCAAGTCCATCCTTCTCCCAGTGCTTTTCACACCCTCAGTTACTCCCCGTAGAGCACCATATAGACAGCCTTTAGAGAGACGCTTTCGATATCTCCTATCATTACTATCACAGAGACAGCTCCAGAAGTTGAGCAACTAGCTAAAACTTAAGTCAATCTCTCTCCTCCTTTCTTTCACCCTTAATTATAAACGGGTGACAGCCCCCTTGGACATACGGAGGTTGATACCATTCAAATTGGCAAGATGGGAATCATGTCGACTGATTATTCAATTGTATCGCCTCAGCCTTACCACATCCAGTCAGCCAATCTCAGATGGCCCCATACTGCCTACGCCCAACGACATCTGCCTCGACACTATTTTGCATCCACCCCAGGGGTGTGAAATATCATTGTGGATGACCCAGAGAGAGATGATTGCGGATGCCCCAGATCCAACTCACACGTAATGCCTCACAACAAGCAATTACACCACCAGTGCCCTTGAAGCTGTTTGACAAGCATAAACGAAACACACCAACCCTGGCCTGCCCGGCCTACAATGCCATACCAACTGCACCACATCAACTCCGTTCCCCAAGCGAATTCTGCTTCGCACACGTGGCTAATGTGGAGAATAACGTTCTATTTCTGTTTTTTCATTCTCTCTGATACCCCGGACCTATTCTGTCATTTTGCAAGTGGCCATTTTGAAAGTGGCCATCTACACATGGCCATTTTGAAAGTGGCCATCTACACAAGCATGCAAGTGGCAGTTACATTAATTCCCCAGTCTGGGTGAGTTTCCAGTTTCAATTCCATACTCGTTAGCGCACGGAGCTATAAACAAAGAACCATCTATGCATGCAACAACTGCAGAAGAAAAACACATTGAAGATTCCAACAGAACATCATATGCCTACCTCGTGCCCTCTCGTCCCTTGGTCGTTGCCGTTCCCTGTGCTCCCTTTCACGCTCTCTGTCCCGCACATGCTCCCTGTCCCTATCCCTCTCCCATTCTCGTTCCCTCTCTTTACTCCGCTCTTTCTCCTTCTCTCTCTCCCTTCCTCGCTCTCTGTGCCTTTCCCCCTCCCTTTCGGACAACTCCTTTCGACTATCAACCAAACCCTTCCCCGATTCCCCCTTCACAAATTCTCCTTTCACAGTGTTATGCCCATTGGCCGTCGCCACAGGCATCGACGGCACAGCAGATTCCCTGATTGTTGAAACAGGGGCTGGCTGTACGCTGTTCCCCACATCCATGCCACGAAAGCTATTTCCCTGTGCGCCATTCGCTTGCATCACCGAGGAGCTGGTTGTTCCATTGGCTTGCTGCCTTCTGGCGTTCAATTCCTGTCAAAAAGCAAAAGAACATTCACACTGACATTTGTCAAACTCTCATATTGCTTCAACGTTTGGCAACGACACCAGGGTTACCAGGAAGACCTACAACAGTGCATATTATTCACATACAGCACCACATACACATTTTATATCACATTGACCTGCTTTCGATCAGGCATTCTATAGGAGCTGGTGGTTCCATTGACCTGCTTTCGATCAGGCATTCTATAGGAACACATTTTGACACCATCACATACACAGTCAGGCCATCTATTCTCTCAGACAAGGTGAGGAGAGTGTGTTGAACATTCCGGCCTTCTATTCTCACAAGCAAGCTGAGAAAAGTCTCATAGTCGTTGGGAGTTCCAATACATCCTCCATACTGCGTAATCGTCGAATCACGAGCAACTTGAATATTCGATCGAATTGGCTTGGGACACTTCTTGCATAAGCTAGCTTTCGTTACCCAGGATCAAATTCCACATAGGGGCTTCTTTCCCACAGACTGCTCAAAATTATCCTCGTGACTACACGACTCTCACAACCTAAAGCAATTTAATCTCCAGTCTTTACACCAATCGTCACAGTTCCAAAGCTTCTTTTCAAAGCTTATAAATTATCCTCATGATTACGTGCCTCACAGCCTGAAGCTTCTTCAAAAAGTTGCCCAAACATTATCCCCACATACTTCCCAAGACTGCCTTCCTTTGCTTTCCATCCACCTCCTCGTGACCTGCATGCCTTCTTCAAACTGGCTACCGACAACAGACCAGACATACAAAAAGCCCACTCCATTCTCACACTGGATACTTTCAATCCTTCACGGCTTCTTGTGGTTCCGCTATACCAGAGCTCACTTGGGTACCAGACACAGAGCTCGCTTGGGTACCAAACAAAATATCAACAACCCAATGGCAGCAATGCTCCAATAACGAGATCCGCGAGCACGCACAAGCGTGTGAGCCTTTAATCTTTTTACTTCAGAACTTGCCCAGAGCGATAGCGTGCAGGACAACAGATATCCGCAAAGCTAAGGCAAACACCATCACTTGCCAGCACATCTCCATTCATCGTTTACTTGTAGAAACCACGGTAGCCATGTTCACATGCAACACACACACGATTGCAAACAGTTCCAATTGATTGGTAATCGATAGTGACTACAAAGCAGTACACACCTGAACAGGAGCCGGAGGGTTCCACGCCCTCGTGCTAAGCACGAAGGACTTCTGATCCTTGCAGACCTCGATGTACTCAGCACGTGGATAGCTGTAAAGCAGCGCTAGCTCTCGACAAACTACATCTATATGTACACAGGAGTCAAGGACTATTCACTTCTGAGGAAGTAGAGAAATCTCAGATTTCAAGGGCGAGAACAGACAGCCGTAGAGCAGTGCACCGCACAGAATTTCGATATTCATCATGCAGACATCTACTGCCACCTTCAGCCAACCAACTCCAAGCCTTTTAAATAGAGCCAAATAAAAAAGGGCAAGCGACAACCACTAGACCACACGAAACTGCACGACCAAAACTGCATTTCGTTTCGAACACAAACTACCACGGAGGAGACCTTTATCTTGCAGGAGGGCCGCTTCCAAAACACCACGAAATACAGCAAACATTACCGAATGCGAAAAGACAAACATACTAAGAAGTAAACAATGGCATCCCAAACAAGCACCAGATATGCATCAATACACTTGGCCATTACAAGCACAAGGAACATCCAAACAGCTACAAGCACAGCGATCATACAACAGCGTGTGAAAAGGATATCTTCTTTCTTTGCATTGAAAACAAGCCACCACTGAGGATTCTCAGGAAGCGGCACTCTCGCTCTTCTAGCTGCAGCATAAATCACACCGCATGCAACGACCTCTCCCTTGAAACGCACACAAAGCGTGGTGCGCAAGCTGCCATCACAAACACAAATCAGACAGCACCTCCCGTCATTAGATGGACGAGTCCCTCTTCTCGACGACCTCATCCGCGTCTTGGCCGTCCCGGGACACAAAAACAAAACGTGTATCTGCACACCAACCCACACAAAACTCGATAACATCAAAAACAAACCCAACATCTACGAGAGCGACTCTCCTTTCACACAGATCCGAACCAAAAACTACCAATTTGATTTCCCCCCCCAAAAAAAATCAACTGCTCCTCAACGACCCCTCAACGCCAAATCATGTACCAATTTGCTTTCCCACAAAAAATATAAACTGCCTTGCACCGAAGACGTTCACAGCACTCCGCACCGAAAAGACCAGTCGAAAAGAAAACGTGAACCTCAACCAGGGAAGAACCCAGCCCGCACGCGCGCACTCGCACACATGAGCGCACTTCAACCACACAAACATTGTCCACAAGCGCAAACACCCCCACAGCAGACACTTACGCAGACACCTATACTTTCAAACTACAACTCATTTCTCTAACGCTAAGTTGTCCGAACAGAGCAATTAAGCTCGCAGATTGTTGTGCGTGCGGTAAACGCAGGCAAGCCTACCTGTCATTGGCAAGGTTCCACACTTGTTGCATAAGCTCGCTGCTTGCACCCAGGCTGTTCAAATAGTACAGAATGAACTTATGAGGGTGTTCCACGTGACAAATAAATCCCATTTCCTTGAGAATATGCCGCTCCGTCCGAATCAAGTCCAGCTTCAATTCTTCATATTTCTGCAAAAAGTCCAACGAGACAACAACAGCCCATTCCGCTTCACGTAAATACACTAACTGAAGTGCCGACAAAGATTCTGGGGCATGCTTCTTTTCCTACATCCCACTTCATATCCATTTTGAAGCAAACCTGATCAACTTCACCAACCAATGCCACTACCCAAAGATTATGGGGCTTGCTTCTTCTCCTGCATCCCAAATGGACCACAGACGATTGGCATACAAAAAACATTCATTTACCTGGACATGGGCGAACACAAGTACAAGAACACGAACCCACAAGTCCGCAGCAGCTACTCCTCGTCGTCTGTATTCCCCAGCACCTCCAGACAACAAGGACGAGGGAGGAAACCTGCTAACTACCGAGATCGACTACCGGTAGGTAACCTTATTCCAAAAAAAGCCTTCTAACCAAAATAGGAAAACTATTCTGGGCCCCAGAAGTGGTGGTTTACACAACAAAACACATCACAAACACAGAGATCATTACAGTCTTCCCCCGAACACAACGCACCCTGAAAAGGAACGTATACAAGGTATGTTTCCGGCCAGATACAGTCAGAATCAGGGTGCGTTTTGTTCGCGGGAAGACAGTAGCTGTGACTATATCTACTCCAGGTAACTTCCATCCGGCTTCCGTGGCTCCAGCTAACGCTGCAAACACGCTGAAATTATCACTGAACATTTCCGCGCCTTGCCCAAAGGGATAGCCCTCAGCTCAGAACGGCGCCAGAGAAATGCAAAAAAAATTGCTCTCGTCCTTCAACACGAGGGGAAAAGCAGCCCATACATCCTGCATATCGGCATTTCTATAAAAAAGTGGTATACAGAAGCTTCGACGGATTCCATTACATTATTAGCATGCAAATCTAGAGAACGCGGAGTCAATGTTCGACAGAACGCTAGGACAAACACTCCACCGCGTAGCGACACTTAAACAAAACGGTTGGTAATCACGCCTACGAAATACTACAACAGTATACAACACAGCCCATTTACTTGGAAATACCGTTTCACAGTCCCAAATAGCCGCTGCTTTTTTGCCCGCCACAACCTGACACTCTCTCGGCCGACCAAACTTCCGCTTGCCTGCCACAGGAGTGCCCACTAACCCACTCAGAAGCTGCCCGCCAACCAATACCCACTAAAAGGACGGCACACATCTCCCCTAACCAACAGTATGGGCACGGCGGACTGGAATAGCACACCTCTTGCCTAAACACACAACACCCCACAGGCGAGTCCGAATTAGGCCCACACAGGGTTCCATAGAACTAAGCCAGCTTAGGGGGGTGGGCGGGTGGAAGGGAAGGGGAAGGGGGGGTAAAGCCGTGGGGGGGGGGGGAGGAAGGCCGAGGAAGGATGGGGAAGACAACGACACGCATTATACGCAAAGATCCGTCACAATCGCAACAGCGGACACTTCACCCAAACAGGTTGACCGTCTTCTACCGAATGCACATCTTTCGTTCGACTGACCAGACTTATAATGCATATGTTTCCTTCGTCTAACCTGCCTGATGCATCCATTTTATTAGGTTGATGATTTCAATTATACATTCGCAGTCTCGCCTCGGAGCACAAAGACGAAAACCGCTTCCTTCACTGCGCGACAACATGGAAAACGTAGTGGAGGTGATCACTTCATAGGAGATAAAACTCTCATTATAAGCCATCCATAACATCGGATTCGTTTACCGCCGATTCCGTTAAGAAAGTTATCTGCACGCCTGAAGTCTCGCCTCGGGGGACAAAGCAAAGACAAGTTCCTTCACTCAGCGGCAGAATGGAAGTGGTGAGGCGTTGCACATTCAGCACAAAGATGAAAGTGACCTGGTAAGCCGTCAGTGACATCGGATTAGTTTAGACGGCTGCTGCTCCTCTTTTAAAGAACACCGCCTGAAGTCTCGCCTCGGGGGACGAAACAAAGACATAGAACTGCGTGCAGAGCCACTTCATCGTAAGTGAGTGCATCATATTCACCTCAACGATCCAAGACCATCTATTATTACACAGCTACTACCGAGGTTAAAAATTTGCCCCTCATAACCGAGGTTAAAAATTTCCCTTTCGATCTACCGAGGTTAAAATAAGCCCGTGCGCGAGGGCGTTTCAGCTACTACTTCCGATTTGCCATTCTTCTTTTCGACACTGTCGGTGAAACATTGGTAGATTACCCAGCGGTGATTCACTTCCGGTCTGACATATTCTTGATACATTACACCGCGGTTATTCACTCCGGTTTGACATTCTTGCGCCAATTTTCCCGTCATCTACCGAGAGGTTAAAAAAAAAAACCGTGCACATGGGCATTTCAGCTACTTCCAATTTGACATTCTTTTCTTCTACACTGTCAGTCAGACATTGCTCGATTGCCCAGCGATTTTCCACTTCCGGTTTGACATTTTTCCTGTATGGTCGGTCGGACATCAATACCTTGTCCGCCGGTCATCATTTCCTTCCAAGTGAAAGCGATACAGACCGAAAGTGACATTTATCCTATATGGTCGGTATGTATCGCTTTCACCACCCAGATAGGAAGAATGTCAAACCAGAGCAAGGTCGGTGAAAACGATACAGACCGAAACTAGTTAGCAACCTCGCATGCATGCGAACAACACGCTACCTCGCATGCGGGAAACCGCTAATTAACCACGGCGACAACGGACAGTCTGCTCAGTAAGTTTAGACACTGGCCGCATTTCCTTCGCCCATCAACAAAGGGCATCTCGGGCAATAATCAACACGATATACCTCCACTGGCACTACTGGTAGTTGATATCCTGACAGGTCCCTACCACAGAAGACAAATGCCGGTCTGTGCCTCCACAGCTGCACGTCCAGGAGAGATCTGTGTCTCCACAGCTGCTGCACATCCACGAGAGATCTGCGTCTCTCCACAAACGCACGCCGATCTGAGAAATGAGCCTACGGACACCATTTCTGACGTCCTGTCCAGTGCCAATTATTCCTCGTCTCCTGGAACACCTAAGAAAGTCGAAAACGTCAGTCACATGATTTGCCAATTATTCCTCGGACGTCCTGAATATGTTCGCAGGATAGTTCCATACCGGCAGCAAAACTAACTTCACGAAAACAAAAGAAAAGAAAAAACACTTAAAAGTTCCCGAAAACTGTCGCTGAGCACGTACGTGGGCAACGCTTTCTTGTACGTGGGCGACGCCTTAGTGTACGTATTCGACGCTTTTGTGTACGTGGGCGACGAGGTCAAGATTCGACAGCTTATGGTACACGATGGTTGGCACAAGCCGTGGGTAAGGTTTCAAGCACTTTCCTTTTTCACGGATAAGGGACGGTGGGACTCTTCGACCGCTGACTCGGAGTTCTGATTCATAGTTAAGGATTCGGGAATCGTGTTGAAGGGTGTTTCTGAGTCATGGTTGAAGGATGCGGGGATTGTACACGGGAAGCCGTATGCAATACGGCTCGCAAGTAGACTAACGACCTCCGAGATTTTCGGGAGTGTTTAATATTTTCTGTCGCTTAAGACGAAGCGGGGAAACATTGGGCCACCAAGACACTCGTCTTCATCTAAAGCTGATACACCAAATCATTCATCGTCGACAACCATTTGTTTCCCGCCTTGTGCTCGGCTTCCCTCATTCCCAACGAGATCGACCAGCTATTCGACTCACTAATCTGCAGTACTCTTCAAGCGCTGGCCTACCAGAAAAACTGCTCGCCAATGGGATTGTCTTTTTTACAGTGTCCGTGTGATTGATTTCCTGTTCGAGGCAATTCACGATCCGAGCAAGCGAGCGTGGTTCACATCCCACGCGCCCATTCTGAATCAAAACGCCGTCTCGCCCATTCTGAACAAAACGCCGAAAGCATGCTGGTCGACGACAGCGATCATCCACAGTAGGGGTTCGGGGCAGGAGAGAGAGCACCCGCCTTCCGTCAAGACGTCCGCGTTATGCCACCGGTTCGCTGTCAACAAGGGAGCTGCCACCGAGATATCATCCACCCCCTCGCACGGGTTCTCCCACTTCACACCACCACACTCACGGCTCCACTCTCACACCCGGAGTGCACCAATGAGTCACCTCCCAGCCAGCCGTTTGCAACCCATCACACAACTTCTCGTCAGCATTTCGCCAACGGCCCATCCCTTCAACGCCATCGACGAATATCGGGGCTATCACAGCTCATTGTAGCACATACCCCCCCCAAATCTCCTTCGCGATTGATCATTCATATACCGTAACCACTTCTTCCATCCATCACTGTATCAACGATCCTCCAACAAGAGGATACAGGCAATACCAGGCAATACCTGACAGCCAACTGATCACAGAGAGAACCCCCCCAAAGTCTTCCTGCATTACTTTCCTCATAGCACGTCGACGCCGTCAGATTCCAATCGCTTGGCGAGCGCCATCGCCGCCGGATAAATGAGAGAGTACTTCAGTCCCGAAGCCAATCCACCCGAGACGGAGACACAAACACCATTCCTCTCCTTCACTCGCTTCTCTTCGCTTTGCCCGTAGCTTCCTCCCAAAGACAAAGCCCTTGCCAGGCGCACCCAAACACGAGCACCTACTCGATTCCCAAGGAGGAGTTCACACCCCCCGTATAACCACTGCATCATCACTACCTTCTCTCTCTCGTACCCTTAGCCAACCACTCCCAGTACGATCGCCTTGAGCCCCCCTGGTTACCGATACCGCGGCCCCATCTTCCGGTAGACGAAGGTCCTTTTTCCAGCTCCTGCCCAAACCCTCATGCTGCGATGACTCAGCTGGTCCGATTAGTCCGTGTGCCTAAGCTGTTACGACCACCTCCTGCTTTCTGCGGGCATGCTATAAATCGACTATACCATCAACACACAAGCTTTTCGCTCCCCTTCATCGATTCGTTTTCCGGAAACACCTGTTCCTGAAAACTGCTCGGTTCTTAAGCAGGCAAGCAATCGCATGCCATACTACCAGCATGCAGCCACCTCATCCTCAAGACCTTAAAAATCCACCATGACAATCACACCTGCCCCTGTCACAGCATGCATCTCGTTCTTGTTGCCGGGTTCCACCACGCCCTGATTATTTAATGACGACTGCGGCTCCCGTTGTCCGTACTCGGTTCACACAGTTTCGTGTCCTTCCTGTCACGCCGGAACATAGTGTCAATAACAATCAACGTCCACCAAAAGACGACCATCAGGCCCAGCCCAACCCATTCAACTGCAAAAAACAGTGTTCAGAAGCCTTGTTTTAAGAGGATGCACTACCCACGATCCCACTGGACTCTTCCGATTAACCATTTTAATAGTACACACACGTCATTCGAGACTGTCCCAAAGCATCACCGTTTCTTTACTCCTATCAAAATACAACACTTCCAGTGAGATGGCATTCGCCTTTCCCTCTCAACGCCTCCATTCCGTTTTCTCACAGTACGTTTTACCCATGACGCTTTTCACTAATCAACTCCCCCGATTCCTTTTCTTTTAATTACATTTTACTACTCAGTCAGTCAGTCGATCTACCTGCACTGTCGTTTCATGCCTTCGTTACTTGGTTATACAGTTCAGTCCAGTGAAATTTATTATCTATCCCCGATTCTATATCTATTTAGTACCAAGTCGACCCACCAGATAGGTCCAGTGAAATCACCTCCACCACCTAGCGCATCCATCGATTATAAAAGGTACTCCGTGGGGCAAAGGACATACCATGCCAGTGATCGCCATAATTCTCATGAAGAAGACACCAGGTGGACGCACACATCGGGTTTTTTACCGAGATAGACCAACAAACAGCGAGGGGAATAAGGTTCCGCCGTTGTACAGCAGCAGCAAATAAATATATTTTTGCAACTTAGCCCCATAGCCATCTCATTTATCTCAAATTGGCGATTCCGGAAGAATGGAATCTTAGCTCGTTCCGTTTTCCGAAATCCGCAGTCGACGCAAGTTTCAATCAGGTTAATTGCGTCCAATCGAAGCCCTGACGTGTCTCACCCTTCTCATCATCTCGTACGAGAGAATCCCATAAGTTTTAATGGGCCACCTGTCAAACATACTCCCTTTCTCATTATCTCGTATGCAGAAATCCCCTTACTTCCAATGGCACAGCATCACAGGCAAGATCCTCTCCATCACGGAAACGACCCTCCCACGAACCCAATGGATTACAACAACACTCGTGCCTAACCACGATTCGATACGTTTCACTATCGATGAATAGCGGCGGGTGAGAAAAAARAACCTCGATTGTCAAGCCGTACAATGCTTGGACAAAATCTTCGACTCTCTGGCAAACCATTGTTCTGAACAATCGGAAAAACAGACGGGAACCTGTGATATATGAGAAACAGACAAATAGTTGGTTACACCCTCAACGCATCATCCGGACATCCAGAAGGTGCCCGCCAAGTTGCTCACCCTCCTACACGCAAAAACCTAATCCTTCAGCCAAGCTGCTACCGTCTTCACCCGAATAGAACGCCCAGTCATTATAGACGTATTTGGTGCAACGTTCAGTTTACATACAGCGATTGAAAAGAACAGGGGGCGTTCTATTCGGATGAAAACGGTAGTTCTTTGCACAAACCCAGACGAAAAAGGAACTTCAACACGAATTGGACACAAAGGAAAGCTATAAAGGGGGAAAAAAAAAAGAGGCCAGCTGATTGATGTAACAGACGAAAAGGGAAGAGCAGGCATTATTACTCGAAACGTCCTCCTCAGCAACCCAACCAGGGAAGACCACTACGACTCACAATTGGCGCGCGCACGGCATACTCTGCAATAATACATACGAATCTTGCCCTGGATAGTATATCGTGAGAACGCAGAAACAAACCCTTCAGAACGACCCGCTCGAATACCGTCCCCAATCGAGTGACTGAGACCTCAAATGACAGCGAAAAGCTTCGGTACGAGAGGCGGCTTGATAAGAGGGGAAGAGAATAGACCTAATAGAAGGGCTGTAGTAAAAAGGGCTGTAGTAAAAAGGGCTGAAGTAAATGGGCTGTAGTAAATGGGCTGTAGTAAAAAGGGCTGTAGTAAAAAGCTGTATCAAGGTGGCTCCGGAGTCGGTACGGAGGTGTGGCTTGATAAGAAGGGGAGAGACTGGACTTAGTGGGGTAAGAAAGCCAGTGACCCTGCTAACCACCACCACCGCCAGGGYCGTAGRAAGGAGAAGTTATGGCAAACGCAGACGGACACAGAAGACTCAAAAATGTGTCAGAAGCGGTTCGTATAGGGTCTCTACAGGCGGAAAAAGAAAAAAACTCGCCTACCTTTTTTCATTCATAAAACCTCTCGATAACGTAGGGGGCCACAGTTTCCAGGCTGAGTTGGAGTGTACACAGCAGTATAGACCAAAATCATGAAAAACGTAGTTGGTTACAAGGCAGGGAACGCCAAGGGGTAAAGAAGACCAATGCAACAAGATTTACCTTTGACAAGGGGTCCAATGGCTCCAGCGGCAGATTTTCTCTTCTTTGCTCCATTCGGTTGAACACGTTCAACACATCTCTTATCTTCCTTTGGCTTTCCTCTAGCTTCGCCGCCAGCCAGACACAGCTAGCAGCGGTCCTCTGCAACCATGCAAACCACACAATCGGACAGACCGTTAGTCCCACGCTTTCCAGTTACCTGCGAGCCGCAGAGACCAAGTACGCGACCACGCACGGACCTCTGGCCTGTGAAAACTTACGAATCATGCAATCAATCCACTGTCCAGACATACTGAACAAAGTTTAATTCGTTCGCTTAAGACATTTAGCGTTTGCTAGGTAGCGTTTGGTAGGTAGCGTTTGCTAGGTAGCGATTGCTAGCAAACGCAATAGGAACAATTACGGCACTAACCGGCTCTACACGCGTCACATCCCCTACATGATAGAAAGACAAAGATCTCTAACTCTGACATACAGGAGAAGCAGACACAAGATTAGGCACTGATGATGTAACCTCATGCATGCACACCCCGATAGAAAGACAAAGACCTCGATGACCACAATTTCAACATATAAGCGCACAATTCCACATAAGCGAACAATCCCCACAGACATCCCTTCGTATTCCTTGAACGCACAAAAGGCTTATTATTCAAGGCGCTCCCCGCCGTTCAACTCCATCCACCTTCGTCCATTCCACAGCCGTAAGTCTTCGCAGTAGCAGACCCACTCTCCTTATCAATCTCCCGTCGTCTACCTGATTAAACACACTGGCGCATTTATCTGCCAGTTATATTTATTGCACTGAGATCAGCGAAGGGTCACAACACCCAACGGTGTTCGCTTCACATACGGTCAGCTGGACATCTCGGCTGTACACAGGTCAATTGATGCTGATTTGTGCGAGAAAGGGCAAGCGAGAAATCTCAAGGCGCCATACAACCCGAGAAGTTCCTGTCAAACCACGTACCTTCACGTTGTACACCGTGAAAGATTTCTTGCAATAAAACCGCTGGAAGATAACTTGGGCCGTCGCCATGACTGCTTGCGGTCTATTATCCAATTCAAGTGAGTCAAGGGTACACAACCGACGAAAAGGAAGAGACCACCAATAAATTACTTCAACAAAATCCATTTGCGGGAGTACCGTCCAAATACCAAACACGACAGAAGCGCACAGCATCACCGGCACAAGAGAAGGAAGAGGAGACGACAGAAGGGCCATGTGCGACGAGAAGCGTGGAAATGAGGGCACCCAGCTGAAAAACGAGTAACACGGTTCAGAGCCAGGAAAAACATTAGACATGACAGACGCGCCTTGGAGGTGGGCATGAGTCGACAGATTCGCCTGTGCAATACGAAGTAAACAGCTATGCACATCAATCGCAGCTTTCAGCAATATAACAAACAGCAAACGCCCCGCGGCTTGAAGAGGGCAACGAGAGTTAGGGTAAATTTGCACGCGGGCACAACGTCAGGCCGAGACACAAACCACGTTGTGAGGACGCACAGAAGGGAAATGAACCAGAAACCAGACAGCAACAGCCACAAACAAACTGCCATAACATCGCGCGCCAGGAAGGAGCAATCGGGTAAGAGGAAGGTAAGCAGCGACTGAGTCGGGGAAGGACCGAAAGCCAACGGGGGCAGAAGGGATGGAAGGGAAAACCCAATAGCGGAGAGAGAGGCAGGAGAGAGAGGAGCTGGCAATCAAAAGACCGAGGCGGGAAAGAGCCGCATAATACGGAAGAGGGTGGTGAACATTCAAAAACGGAGTGCGGAGTGAGAGGCAGGAGCACGGACCTAGATGTGGCGAGAGGCGTTAGACAGGGACACGAGGCGAGACGGCAGAGCGGCACTTTAAACAGGAGCACGAGGCGGCCCGAAGCACGGGAAGCACAAGGAGAAGCGAACAGCGTGAGGAAAGACGGGCAACAGGTAAACGGAATTGGCGAGCCACGGATTGGGCGATCTGACAGCACAGAGAGGGTGAGGAGAACATCCGAAGAGGGCAGGACCCGCAGCAGCGGTGATGGCAGAGGAAGAAAGAGGGCGTCCCGCCCATTGAGAGAGGAGAGGAGCTGCCCAGAACTGAGCGATGGCAGAGGAAGATATGAGCGAAAACATGCCCGTAAAGCTCAGAAGTAAGAACTGAGCAGCACTCGGCGTTAGAGGCGCCCGGAAGAGAGCGACTGAAGACGGGAAACTCCAGCGGTATGCCTGCACAAAGAAGAGCCACGACCACGGCGGGCTGCCGCGCCGAGACGCTACCGATAGCAGTGAACACCACTGACAGCGGGGAGAGACAATCGGCGGCCGACCGGAAGTAGCAGGCGGGCGTTAGTAGCGGCGAACAGGGGAGAGCAACAGCACGACGCGATCGGCACCGCAGCAACAAAATCAGCAACATACAGACGGCAGCAAGCGCAACCGATAACAATAAGGCAGCGTGGCTGCGAGGAGGTGAGGACAGCTGCAAGAGCAGGGCAGCGGCGGCAGAGGAGAAGCCCCAAAGCAGCGGCAGGGAAAAGCACGGGAAGGTGCTGCTTGCAGCAACGAGAAAGAGCCGCCACGATGAGACAACGAGAGAGGCGCCAGCCGCGCGCGGTGAGAGGTGAGCATCAGCTGGGAACGAAACCAGCGGCAGGACGAGAGAGCTGCCCACCGTGGCGTGAGGGAGGTAGGTGCTGGCTATGGCGAGAGGGAAGCGCCAGCCATGGGGAGAGGCAGGCGCCAGCTATAGCGTGAGGGCGGCGCCAGGCATGGCGGGAGGGCAGTCGCAGGGCAGCGGCAGCAACAGCCGGAGCGAGGCGCCACTCGCGGCGGAGAAAACGCCCGTGGTTGCAGGACGGTGGCGCCAACGGCGATGGCGGCCGCGAAAGAGAACCATGGCTACAAGGGAGGGGCGACGTGAAGTTGAGGTGCAGACAAAAGCGTGAGTCAACGAGAGAACGAACGGCGATAAGGCGGCGCCACATGGAGAGTGAACGGAGGCGCCGCCCTCCATGGGAGAAAAGAGACGGGGAGACGAGAGTCGAGGAGAAATTACCACAGAACACCTATCAAGGAGCACCCGCCGTAAGAAGCCTCAAGTCATCATACAGAAAGTGGCGCGAATCATTCAAGGGAGAAGCGAGACGCAGAACGGAAATTAGAGTCAGACAGGGTAGGAGAAGCAACGGAATGATCGTCAAACAGAGGACAGATGCACAAGATATAGAGAGAAGAGTATGAAGGGGAGAATCGAGACAGGCGCGCATGGAGGCGAGATGGAGGACGACACACTAAGGACATGGAATCACTGCAAGCAGAAGGAAAAATAATTTATGTCGCTCACGAAGGGTTTCACATCCTCAAGACACGTTTGATTGCTTCGCCTCTTGAATAATTTATGTCGCTCCTGTACAGGTAAACATACGGTTGAAAGGATACAATTTGAGAAGAATTCCCGCCTCTTGAATAAGCTCGCAACCGTAGATCCTAAGCATCGTCTCCGTCCGTTGATCAACCCCATTCTTTCTCGATGGGGAGTTGGCGAGCTGTTCATCGGTGAGATAAAACGTGTCAATAGTTGTATAAATCATAAAGACCCTCCTGGGGACGCAGTGACAGAGGGAGGGTCGGCAATGCCCGCCTCTGCACAATCACCTCGGGCGCTCGCGGCAACTTTTCGTATGGCTACCCGTCTACTCACAGAAGTCCGACCTCAGAGATGGTGGTGACAAGCAGAAGACCGCGTCACTTCGCAAGCACGGGATGATGTTGGCGAAAGCGGAACAGAAAGAAGCACCGCACATCATCAAGCGAGGGCATCGTCCTTATACGTCATTGAGACAGCGATGAATGGCAATCGTGCGCACAGACAGCGATGGATGGCAATCGCGCGCGCAGAAAGCGATGGATGGGAATTGTACGCGCAGACGGCGATGGACGGGAATCGTGCGCCCACGACACTGAAACGGAAAAGGTGATCGTTCGACTATCGCGAAACCAGATACGGCTTGCTTAGCCGCTTCTGTCTCATTACTTGCGGCTCGCACATACCCCCTTCTGTTTCTAGGTAAAACTCGCGGACTCGCTCCCCGCCAGAGAACTCGGTTGAAGTGACAGGGAGAGCAGCCTAAGAGATGGACTCCACAACTCTGCGGCAAAAGTCTGGAAAGACTCCGGAAAGTTTTTGGAAACCCCACAGGGCGGCCGGACGGGTTGGAAAGGAAAGGATGGTCCCTCGTGGCCCAAGGTTCCCCAGTACAACCCCGGCGGGCCCATCGCGGTCGGCCAAACGGGAAGGGTAGGGTGGCCGGAGGCCTTCCGTCGCAAACCTAACAGATCAGGGGCGGACATTCGTCGCAAACCTAACGGACCAGGGGCGGACATTCGTTGCGTCCGTCGGTCCGGACCACGCAATGCTCTGGACCATGCAGCGTGTGACTCGTCGGTACTGGCACCCATGCAGTGTCGCCTGGTCCATGCAGCGGACAACGACGGCACCGGGTTCACTCGCCGTTGGAGGGGAACGGCCAACGGTTGTGTGGTGGCGCACGTCCATTACGAAAAGGACGAACGTTCTTGTACATGGCTTTCCAGCAGGTTGGTTGTCTGTTGAAGATCATGTGCCCATGATGAGGATGCGGTGCATGGTAGGTATGGAGGAGGGGATGAACGCACGCGGACAGCCATGTTTCTCTGCCATGCTGTTCGGCAGGACCACCCTTCGTCGTTGCCCTTCTTCCCCATTCGTCTCCCGAAGCACAAGGTGTTGCCACATGTCAGCACACCAGGGGTGGATCTTTGGAGACGTTTTGCTCAATTTATGCCCTGTAGACTGTACTACTCTACTCTCAGTCCTTTCAGCCCACACTTTGCCCTCATTCACTGGACTTTTCAGTGCACGGCAACGTCATTCGACTTCCATTGTCGGTAACCCGCACGTCGTCATTGCATTTTCGAAACTTCACCCACTACCAAGAGGGTTGTAGGGTCGACGAATACTTGTGTTGCCTATCATACACACGCCGCTGGCATGACGTGTATGAACACACATCCGCTTTTCCAGTCGGCAATGTCGTTGTTGTTGTAAAAAGGTCGTTCAAGGCCGATGTTTGGGTCACCAACTTTACATTAGTAACCGTAGCGTTTGTCACCATTCGTGCGGTTTTGGTATTCCTATTCATCGTTTTTGTCTTTGCTCTCGCTCTTCTGATTGACATCTCCAGTCTACGCAAGTGAGCATCGTCCTTCATTGGTTGTCTGAACCACAGCAGCAGTATTCTTCCGCGGCATACTCTTCCATGGATCATCACGATGCGGCATCCAGTGATGATCGTAGATTGCAAGCAATCGCCTCTATTCCACAGGAGTACAACTTCGTAACACAGGGTAGTTTGTTCACGAACTCTCTTTCCCCCCTCCCTTCATGGAGGGACAGCCCGGTTGTCCAGCCGTACGTGCAAGGCAACGTTGGTAATCAAATCCTCCGATGTCGTCCCCGGTAAGCACGGGGTATGGAGTCACGGTGGGGCAAGGGAACGTCCAGCACGGCGGCATTCACTAAGTCCAGTATAGTCACTCGTGGTTAATGGACCCCATAAAATACATTGAATTGAATAGCGAAACTTGTTAGCGAAATGTTAGTGAATTTATGATTTTTTAACCCGAATTTGTACTTTGTGTTGGTGAAAACGGAATCAATGTTTGTAAATTTGTAGTCTTGAAACCCGAAATGTCTATTAACATGATAAACAACTCTTTAAAGTCAACTTCATATTTTTCGAAGTTATAGCCCTATACGTGTTCAGGATTTTGTTACCGAAATCGCACTTTGGGATTTGGAGATTTTGCTTAGCTGTTTTTTTTAGTTATATCCACACATGCGGTCGAGATTTTGTTACGAAAATCGCACTTCGGGATTTTGAGATTTTCCTTAGTTGTTTTTCAAACTTATATCCCCATGTGTGTTTGGGATTTTGTTACCTAAATCAAACTTCATGATTATGAGATTTTACGTAGTTGTTTCTTGAAGTTATATCTGCACGTTATTGCGCCCCCACCGCTTCCAAGCTAAATTCGATGTCCTTCCCCGGGATGAGTGCAGTGGGTTGGTGGATTGGCAGACTGTCACGCAGGATTTTGGTAACTATAAAGGAATAAAACAAAGGTGCATTTAGAAACAGTCTTTGTCACACTTAGTCATACAGTCGAGTAGTCAGGGTTGTCCCTCCTGCCAATGGCGACACGACTTAGAGTGAGGCTTTCGGGTTTATCGTCTGCACTTGACCTCGTATAAAGGTTAGATTCAAGGTCATCGGAGTCCCTATTATCTATGAGTCCTTCAAGTAGCCTTGAGTGTAACCTGTATAATGTGAAGAGAGAATAATGTACATGTATCATAAAACAAATAACACTGAAAGAACAAGAAGACCAGGAACTAGACTCTGCAAGAGCATGACCAGAGACACAAGACTGAAGAGTAGTACATAGGGTAAATCATAATAATGTCATAATACATGACAGTGACTAAAGAGTCTCAATCAATAATGATAAGTGGTACCCCCTTGTGAGTAGGCCCTACTGTCCAGGACCCCACATCTGGTATATGTTGGTCCTCCTCAACATCAAGAACCCGAGTTGCTATCGACTCTGGGACCATATAGCTGATATCAAGAGGTGTTGCAAGATCGATCTTGTTGATATATGATATGCACCTAGTCATCTCCTCATATGCAACGCTCCTAAGTTTGAGCTCCTTTGCAAGGGTAATATCGTCACTGGCTCCAATCGGTATCTCAATCCGTCATCTCTTGTTTATGTAAACATATGAAACCTCGAGAAAGCGGTCTTCATAAAAAGGCTTTCAAAAAGTCTTCATAGCAAAGTCTGCTCCGACCAAATGACTGTAGTTATCTTCAAGATATGGACTGACCCTTCCCCTCTTAGGGGTCCGACACCCACCTCGGTTTTGGGCCCGCCTGACATATAGGGGTTAGTCTCCCTCGAGCAGATACTGTGCAAGAAGAAAGGCAATCTGCCTCAATATCTCTCTCCAACACCGCCGCTTACTGGTATCCAGCGCTTAAGTTCCCACTAGCGGACTCAATCTTTGTGAGTGTCTCAGTCGAAGTAGTCCCCGAGATCAATGTCACTCACGCTACAAGGATCAAGGTCAGACTCATCCATCTCTGAGCGTTGCGCGCAAGTAATGATTGAGACTCCATATTCAGCTCTCTCTCTCCTGATCTGCTCATCCTTTTGTCGCTTGCCTTTGTCGTGCGCCTCGCTGAGGGGTTTGGGATTACACCCATCAAAATCGAATGGTACACCCCAAGGCGCTGAAGGTACGCGAGGGAACACCACATGCAACCAATTATCGCTCAAATAGCTCTCCCTGCGAAATATATAGTATGCAATCCTGTCGTAAGTGATGCCATTCACACCATCCTTCCATGCCCCCTTTACCAAGTAGGTAATCACCAACGTGTGTCGCAAAGTAACGTGTTCATTATCCTTGATGACAAAGCTCTGATGTCCACCATGTCGGTAGAAGAACTTCTCAACTAGTTTGCCCTACATAGTAGCTGTCTTACGACGTCGGGTCAACTTGGACAACGGTTGCGCCCCTGCTAGTGTAAATGTTCCCCCCGACGTTTGAGTCCGGTTGAACAGCAACCAACAACTCAATATAAGGATCCACCTGAATGGGCCCCGCTAAATAGCAACCAACAACTCGATATGAGGACCCGCCTGAATGGGTCCGGCTGAACAACAACAATCTCAAGGGATGGGCCCGCCTGAAGGGGGCCGGCTGAACAACAACAATCTCAAGGGAATGAGTCCGGCTGAACAGCAGCAGCAACTCAATGTAAGGGCCTGCGTGCATGGGCCCGGTTGATCAACAACCAACAACTCAATACAACAATATCGTAAATGTACATGAGGGTTGAAACTGCCCATATTGTCAAGGCGGAGGACTGATCAACAAAACATTGCATGCACCAGGACCAATTATAAAGTACTGTATGCATTGGGGCTAGGCTGCGCAAAATTAGCCGCGCATGGATTGATTCGCAAATACCGACTGGACAGGGTTTGAACCTTAAATGTCGTCTGAGCAGGAATATATCATCCGCACATTGAATAAAACATCAATATCTTGAACCGCAAGGACGAAATTGCAATTACAGTCGGCACAAAGAAAAATTGTCCACGAGGGGAGTAACTCGCAGAATCCAGCGCAACAAGGACTACAATTTACCGTCCGCACGAAATTATATTTCATGCGGAGATCAAACCGAATCACCGTTCGTGCACGAAAAATACCGTCCAAGCGATGATCAAACTACAAATATCTGAATTATCGTCCACGCAGGGAAAATACCGCCCACGCGGGGATCAAACTGAATTATCGTCCTCGCGGGGGAGAATATCGTCCACACGATGATCAAACTGTAAATATCAAATGCAACCAGTTTTTCAATTATTCAAAAAACTCGACACTCAGCCCTCACATACAGTCGAGGCACTGTGATCCGCAACGTGTGCGATAAATCAAGCGGGAGTTGATCCCACAATAAAGTAAATAAAATAAAATTTGTTGTGCCCGACAACTGAGTATATCACTCATCCTTCACTTAGGGTCCAGATATTGTGGCCCGTTGCGTGTGTGATCAGCCGAGCAGAAGTTGGTCCAACAATAAAATAAATAAAATAACATTTATTGTGCCCGATAGCTAAGCTCATCACTCAGCCTTCACTTAGGGCCGAGGCACTACAACCTGCTACGTGTGTGACCAGCCAAGCAAGTGTTGGTCACATATTAATAAAATAAATGTATCAAGTAGCTGAGTGCACTAGTTAGCCTTCACTTAGGGCAAAGACACTGCTGCTTGTCCCGTGTGTGACCAGCCAAACAAGTGTTGGTCACATATTAACAAATAAAATAATTGTATCA